GCGTCCCCGGGGTCTGCTGGCTGTCTTGGGGGGCTAGGGCTGCCTGTAGGGCTCTTACACCCTGGGGTAAGACCCCCAACATGGTCATTTGGTGGGGGTGTTGCCTTTCCTTTCTTGCTCTGCACCCCTTGATTCATGCTCTGCTTTGTCCTCTCCTCTCTCCCACTGCTGAGCCCAGACAAACCCATGCCCGAGCAGTTGCCATGTGCCACCCCTGCTTGTCTCTCCTCAACCTTCCTGCATTTGCCACCCGTGATTACATTCCCATTTCCCAGGGGCTCTCTGCGCAGCGCACAGGCACATCCTCTCCTGCTGCCCCTTGGGGAGCAGAGGGCATGGCTGGCTGGCAGCGTGGAGGAAGTGCTGGGTGCCCTTGGTGTGGCTGCTGAGGAGAAGCAGCTAAAAGCTTGAGGCTGGGACCAGGGCTGTGGGGTCTGATACAGAGCAAGATTTGGGGGGGGGCTTTAGTGCACATCAGTGAGCAAAAGGCACGAGGCCACACTCGCAGCATCCCCTGCCGACGTGGAGCCACGCTGCCCACACCGTGAGATCTTTGGGGGACTCTGCTCACAGGCAGGTCGGGATGATGCCCACCTTGCTCTGGCTGCCCTCATGTCAGAAAATGAGGTTTCTTGACACACGAATTACTGAGAAGGGAGACAGGGAAACACCCTGCTTGCCTGTGGGACAGCAGCCCCAACGCCGCTGCCCCTGTCCCTTTCGCCCCAGGGGAGCCGCGCCGCGTGCGGGGCAGCCTGGTTGGCGTCATCAACGCTCACAAGCTCAGCATCGCCACCCTTGATGCCAGTGTGCTGGATGACCCGCGCTCCAGCACTGCCGCCGTCCAGAGCAGCATTGGCAGCATCCCACCCGCTGTCGGTAGGTGGTCACCCCCACCCTCACCCAGGGACAATTTTGACCTGTGTCGGGTGAAAATCTTGGAGAAAAGATATTTATTTATCTATTTATCGTCCTCCCCCCAAGCAGCACCCCCTGGTCTCTCTGGTGCCCTATGGTGAGGGGGCTGAGGAGGGCTGGGAGCCCTCTGTGGTGACACCCTTTCTCCTCCACACCCAGGGCCGCTGATGCGGGTGCTGGTCGCCATCATCGCCCCCGTTTACTGGTCCTTGGCACACACCAGTGGGGAGGCCCGGAGAGGGTTCCTGCTCACCCGGGGCACCTTCCGGCACGAGTCGCAGCTGGAGTTTGGCACAGGTGAGGGATGCCAGGAGCACCCCCTGGTCCTGCCCAGCTCAGCCTCTATCTAGCCTGTCACTGGGCTGAGCTTTGCAGTGGTGATGGAGCTGTGTTTGGGGGTGGCATGGGCAGCCCCTCACTGCTCCCCCTCCGGCAGGGGAGCTGCTGCGGGTCACCCACCTCGCCCGGGGCATGGATCCTACTGGTGCTTTGCTGCTGGAGACCGTGATCAGTGGCTCCGTGCCAGAGAGCATTGGCAAGGCTGCGGTGCTGCTGCAGGTGCTGGTGCTGCCCGTCCTCCCCGTGGGGCCACGACTCCTGTGCTGGGGTCCAGGGGGGTGTCTGGAGCCTGACACCCTCCTTGCCCTCTCCCCAGGACTTCAGCGAGCGCTATGTGCAGACGGGCGTGGGGCAGCTCTTGGGGGGCTCGGTGCAGACCTTCGTGTGGGACAGGCACATCACCCGTGCCCGCTGCAATCACACCATCACGTACGACCCCCCTGTGGGCCCGCAGCCCCCCTGGGTGCAGCACATCCGTGCCAGCGCCATCAAAGCCTCCTATGATCCAGCCTCGGAGAAGCTCCATTTCCAGCTCCGTGCCTCACTTGACACAGGTAATATGGGGAATTCCAGGGATGGGGATGGAGATGCCAGGCTTCATCATTGGTCCTGGGTGGCTGTGAGGGTGCAAAGGCCATGTCCCGGCAGTGACATGTCCCTTCTTGTTATCCCTGCTTGATTCCCAGGGACCAACAGAGACCAGTGCCCACCAGGATTCACTCTGGACCCTCAGCAGCTGTACTGTGTTGGTACGGACCCTTCCCACGGAGGGCATGAGGATGGCAAGGGGCACCTGCTGCACGATGCCACCTTCCCCCACCCCGTCCCCACTCTGCTCTCCAGATGTCGATGAATGCGCCGAGGGGTCCCACGCCTGCCGCTACAACCAGCTCTGCCAGAACGCCGCAGGGACGTACCGCTGCGCCTGCCCTCCCGGCTACCGCTCACTGGGTGCTGGCTGGCCGTGCTTGGGTACGCGCTGGGGTCTCAGGGTCCTTGGGTGTGAGGTGCCAGGCTGTGGTCACTCCTCTGCCCTGTTCCAGTCTCAGTTTCCTCATCCAGCTGCAACTCCCCATCTCTTTTCTCCACCAGATGTAAATGAGTGCCTCCAGTTTCCTCCACCATGTGCCTTTGAGTGCCGCAACCTGCGGGGCTCCTACGAGTGCCTGTGCCCTCCTGGCAGGACCTTGCTGCCAGGCGGCGAGTGCGGCACAGTGGGGGTGGAGGGAGGGGGCACAATGGGCAGCACCCCGCAGGACCCCACCCTGCACTGGCCAGGGCCAAGCAGCCGCCCACGGGGACGGACCCTCTACACCCAGCTTGCCCTCCGCCGCGTGGCAAAGGCTGCGGGACTGGATGCCCGGGGCCCCCCCTGCCCCATGGGCTTCATCAAGAGGAATGGCACCTGTGCCGGTGAGCATGCGTGGGCAGAATGTTAGAGAAGAGCTTTGCAGGGAATTTGGAGGCCACTTTGTGCCCAAAAGGTGGCATTTGTGCCCAAAATGTGGGTCTTGTGCCCATTGCTGCCCTGTCTCCCATTTTGTTTGCACCCTTGTTTGCAGATGATCAGGGTCTCCCTGGGCTTGGCTGTGCTGGGAAGGGGAGGCGAGAGCCAGGCTGCCCCAGGGCGGTGGGCAGCGGAGGGGACCCCGTGCTTCCCCACTTGGCTTCACCCCTCTTGCCCGCAGACCTCAACGAGTGCCAGATGGTGAACCAGTGCCAGCACGAGTGCAGAAAC